CCAAGACCCTTCAGGGGAAAGTCCTCATGGGGCGGAAGGCAACCTGGAAAGTGATGGGGGCTGTTTGCAGGCTGAATCTGAAGGGGACAAATGTGGGCTTGAGAGGGATGAGACCCATTTCCAGGGTGATAAAGAGAGTGGAGGCACTGGGGAAGGACTGGAAAGGAAGGATGCCAGTTTACTTGACAATTTGGACATCCCAGGAGGTGAGGAAGGTGGTGGGACTCGCTTCTGCGATGGCCTCACTGGCGTGGATGAAGACCAGAAGCCAGCCACTGGCCAACCCAACTCCTCTTCCCACTCTGCCAACACTGTCACTGGCTGGCAGGCTGGGGCCACTCACACATGCTCTGACTGTGGGCATTCTTTCCCCCATGCCACTGGCCTGCTGAGCCACAGGCCCTGCCACCCACCAGGCATCTATCAGTGCTCCCTCTGCCCGAAGGAGTTTGACACTCTGCCTGCCCTCCGCAGCCACTTCCAGAACCATAGGCCCGGGGAGGCGACCTCAGCACAGCCTTTCCTCTGCTGCCTCTGCGGCATGATCTTCCCTGGGCGGGCTGGCTACAGGCTTCACCGGCGCCAGGCTCACAGCTCCTCTGGCATGACTGAGGGCTCAGAGGAGGAGGGGGAAGAGGAAGGAGCGGCAGAGGCAGCCCCTGCACGCAGCCCGCCACTGCAGCTCTCGGAAGCAGAGCTGCTGAATCAGCTGCAGCGGGAGGTGGAAGCACTGGACAGTGCAGGGTATGGGCACATCTGTGGCTGCTGCGGGCAGACCTACGATGACCTGGGGAGCCTGGAGCGCCACCACCAAAGTCAAAGTTCTGGGACTGCTGCAGACAAGGCTCCCAGCCCCTTGGGAGTGGCAGGTGATGCCACGGAGATGGTTGTGGGCAGTGTCTTGGAGGACATAGTGACTTCTGTCTCTGGAGAGGGTGGAGATGCCAAGTCTCAAGAGGGAGCAGGCACCCCCTTGGGAGACGGCCTCTGCATGCAGGGTGGGGAAAGTTTGCTGGAGGCTCAACCCCGCCCCTTCCGCTGCAACCAGTGTGGCAAGACCTATCGCCATGGGGGCAGCCTGGTGAACCACCGAAAGATCCACCAGACTGGAGACTTTCTCTGCCCTGTCTGCTCCCGCTGCTACCCCAACCTGGCTGCCTACCGTAATCATCTGCGGAACCACCCTCGCTGCAAAGGCTCTGAGCCCCAGGTTGGGCCCATCCCAGAGGCAGGAGGTAGCAGTGAGCTGCAGGTTGGGTCCACCCCAGAAGGAGGCAGCAGCAAGCCCCAGCACATGGCAGAGGAGGGACTGGGGCAGGCAGAAGTCGAGAAGCTCCAGGAAAAACTTAAAGTGGAGCCCCTGGAGGAAGTGGCCGGGGTGAAAGAAGAGGTGTGGGAGGAGACCACTGTGAAAGGGGAGGAGATAGAGCCCAGGCTGGAGACTGCCGAGAAGGGCTGCCAGACTGAAGCCAGCTCTGAGCGGCCCTTCAGCTGTGAGGTGTGTGGCCGATCCTACAAGCATGCCGGCAGCCTCATCAACCACCGGCAGAGCCACCAGACCGGCCACTTCGGCTGTCAGGCCTGCTCCAAGGGCTTCTCAAACCTCATGTCCCTCAAGAACCACCGGCGCATCCATGCAGATCCCCGACGTTTCCGCTGCAGTGAGTGTGGGAAGGCCTTCCGCCTGCGGAAACAGCTGGCCAGCCACCAGCGGGTCCACATGGAGCGACGTGGGGGTGGGGGCACCCGAAAGCCGACTCGGGAAGATCGGCCCTTCCGCTGTGGGCAGTGCGGGCGGACCTATCGCCATGCTGGCAGCCTCCTGAACCACCGGCGCAGCCACGAGACGGGCCAGTACAGCTGCCCCACCTGCCCCAAGACCTATTCCAACCGCATGGCCCTGAAGGACCACCAGAGGCTGCACTCGGAGAATCGGCGGCGACGGGCTGGACGGTCCAGGCGCTCAGCTGTGCGTTGTGCCCTCTGTGGCCGCGGCTTCCCTGGCCGGGGATCTCTGGAACGGCACCTGCGGGAGCATGAGGAGGAGACAGAAAGGGAGCCAGCCAATGGCCAGGGAGGCCTGGATGTCACAGCAGCCAGTGAGGCGAACCTGGCTGGTAGCCAGGGACTAGAGGCCCAATTGGGTGGTGCTGAGCCAGTACCCCAGCTGGAGGATGGAGTCCCGAGACCAGGGGAGCGCAGTCAGAGCCCCATCAGGGCAGCAAGCTCAGAAGCCCCAGAGCCACTGTCCTGGGATGCAGGGAAGGCAGGTGGGTGGCCAGTAGGTGGGGGACTGGGGAATCACAGCAGAGGCTGGGTTCCTCAGTTCCTGACCAGGTCAGAGGAGCCAGAGGACAGTGTCCACAGGAGTCCTTGCCATGCTGGTGACTGCCAGCTCAATGGACCTACTCTGAGTCACATGGATAGCTGGGACAACAGAGACAATAGCTCTCAGCTGCAGCCAGGGAGCCACTCCTCTTGCAGCCAGTGCGGCAAGACTTACTGCCAATCGGGCAGCCTCTTGAACCACAACACCCACAAGACAGACCGACACTATTGCCTGCTCTGCTCCAAGGAGTTCTTGAATCCTGTGGCCACAAAGAGCCACAGCCACAACCACATAGATGCCCAGACCTTTACCTGTCCTGACTGTGGCAAGGCCTTTGAGTCCCACCAGGAACTGGCCAGCCACCTGCAGGCTCATGCCCTGGGCCACAGCCAGGTGCCAGCCCAGATGGAGGAGGCCAGAGATCCCAAAGCCAGAACTGGGGAGGATGAGGTGGTTCTCCCTGGTCAAGGGAAAGCCCGGGAGGCCCCATCAGAAACCCCCGGAAGCCCAGGAGAGAGTGTGGAGAGAGCCAGGGGAGGACAAGTGGTGACGTCCATGGCAGCTGAGGACAAGGAGCGGCCCTTCCGCTGCGCCCAGTGCGGGCGCTCCTACCGCCACGCCGGCAGCCTGCTGAACCACCAGAAGGCCCACACCACAGGGTTGTACCCCTGCTCCCTCTGTCCCAAACTTCTCCCTAACCTGCTGTCTCTTAAGAACCACAGCAGGATCCACACGGACCCCAAGCGCCACTGCTGCAGCATCTGTGGCAAGGCCTTCCGAACAGCTGCCCGGCTGGAGGGTCACGGGCGGGTCCACGCACCCCGGGAGGGGCCTTTCACCTGTCCCCATTGTCCCCGCCACTTCCGCCGCCGAATCAGCTTTGTGCAGCACCAGCAGCAGCACCAGGAGGAGTGGACAGTGGCCAACTCTGGTACGGGGGCATGAAGGGTCCCAGGAGGAGGTGGGCACACGGGGGAGGGTGAAGCCCAGCCCCAAAGTGGGTGGGGGAGCAAGGAGTGAGAGGAGAGAGTCCCGGGGATTTTAAGAGGTGGGTGGGGGCTTGGCTATGGGGTGAGAAAACTAGCTGAGCACCCCCAGGTCAGGTATAGCAAATAGCAGGGTGGGTTGGGCAGCACGTGGGGGCGTGGTCAAGGTGGGGGCATGGTCAGGCTGAGGCTGCTGCCTGGGCTCCTCCATTACACTGTAGCCAGAGTGGAATGGTCTTTCTGTTCGGGGGAAGGTCGCTGGGTACCCCCTGGCTGCTGTGTCTGGAAACCCTCCTGAGTCAGCCAGTAATGTAATGACTTCCAGAGGAATAGAGGGCGCCATTGGTTTGGTCTAGGTTCCATTCTTCCTTAGAGCAGGCTGGGTGCCAGGGAACAAGGGATGGGGCATGGGCTCCACAGCTCGCCTGCTGACTTGGCCATGGAAACCGGGTCACTGGTTGGCACCCTACTCCCTGTCCCTCTTTCCCTGCGCCTTGTCTCTGCTGCCCCTCTCCTTGTGAACTAGACCTCTGGTCCTTCCCTGTCAGTGTTGCTCCCGTCTCTTCTCTAAACTTAATTCAGCCCCTTCTCCCTCTGCTGCCAACGGCCTTTTTAGGATCCAGCCAAACCACTCTTTCCACCTGCACACCCCGCCACCCTCTGCACACCTTTAACTGGAGGACTGAGTCACAGATAATTGTTTCCTTGAAGTCCAGATCCAGTTGCAGCAACAACAGTCATTAGCCCGTGTCACATCCCTGATCAGAGGGCATCTCTGTGGGCAATCGCCTCCACCCAGCACTGCTGGAGGCTGTGGCTGCCGGGGAGTGGGGCGGCCGGTTCCCTCAGCAGGACCTGGGCTGGCCTCTCCACCTCCTCTAGTAGAGGTGGGCCCATTCCATCTAGTGGCCCTCGAGGGTGGGTGGCCCTGAGATGGTGGGCCCTTGATGGGTCTTGTCAGAGCAGAGGGCGGGTGGGAGTCACCTGAGAGCTGAAGGAATGGCTTTAAGGATAGAAGATTTCTCATGACCTCAAGGGATATGATCGAGGAGCCAGTTTGCAAGGGCTGGGAAAATAATTAGGAGGCCTAGAATTCCTGTTCTCATCTGGGCCTCTGGGGCCAGGGGCGGGGGAATGGCCTGCAGGGCTGTGTGGGGTCTGCCCCTCAGTCGGTGACCTCCTCTCTCTCTCCCCAGGAGCCCCAGTGGCACCAGCGACGGGCAGAGGGGACTTGTCATTGCCCCCTCCACCCACCCCCACGACCCCACTCCTGGATCCTTCACCCCAGTGGCCTGCAGACCTCAGCTTCTCCCTCTGAACTTCAAGTCTCCAAAGATTAGAATCTGGGGGAGGGAGCGCGTGCAGGGAGGGGCTTGATCTCCACGTTTTCTCAGGAGTAGTTCAGGCATCCCCATATCTTCTCCTCTCCCCTTGTGAAGAGGACCCAGATCTGGCTTCTTTCCCAAGGAGGGGGTGGGGTGTTCCTCGTGTCCCTGTCCTTGAAGGACCTCCTTCCACCAGCCTCGTCACCGTGCTCTTCCCAGTGCCAGCCTCTGCCGAGATGCCGTGCCACCCTCAGCAGCCAGATTGTAACACCAGGGAGAGTTGGATGCAGAGCCCCACAGGTGGGAAAGTTGCCTGTGGAAGGGAGCCTTTTGCTACAATTTGTAACTTATTTTCTAAAGTCTATTTTGTAACAATTTATTTAAGTTTAAAAAAAGGAAAACTGCTGCCCCCCCAAAAAAGAAATTTTCAAAACACATGGCTGATGTGATTGTATCTGAAAGGGTAAAGGAGGAGGAAAGCTGGGACGCCTGTGTGGGAGCAGAGCTGGGCGTGGGAGTGTCCACAGACACCGCTGTCCTGCAGGGTGGGGAGTGGGCACCTGTGGCCCCAGGCAGGTTCCTTCCCACAGCTGCTGGGCTCCTGGGCCTGCCCTGGGGCCTGGAATCACACATGGCAAGGTGGGAGGGCAGGGGCAGTAATGCTGTTTGCCTGTCTGCATTCTCTTGTCCTGAGAACGGCCAGGTCCCCTGTCAGCAGCTGGCTGGTTGGCCTGTGAGGAAGGAAGGAGTGTGGAGTTGTCCTCACCCTCATGGCTTTGGTCCCTCCCTCCCTCTCTCCCATTCCTCAAAGGAACAGGGTCTGTCTTGGCTGCCATGACAGATGAGAATACTGAGGCTCAAAGCGATCGAGCAGCCTGCTCCAAGTGACGCGATGACAAAGAACCAGAATCTGAATCAAATGGGTCTGCCTATTGCTCCACACTACCCAGGGCAGCTGGAGTGGGTTAGAATGACGCACCCCCTCACTGGAGAGAGAAGGGTCCTGGAGAGGCAGGGTTTGGCAGGAGGTCCCAGGGCCACATACTCATGTTGGCCAGGCAGCTTCCAGGCTCGGCCTCGGGCTCTGGCTCCTCGGCGAAGTAGACTTGCCAGTCCAAACTGCTGACCCAGTCCTCATAGGCAGGGAGCGCGGTGAAGACCGCCGGCCTGGCGGGGCCTTGGCAAGCATCTCCGAAGCTGTGCAGCCCGGCCAGGAACCACGTGCCCCTCACCTCATGCACCAGTGGTGCCCCAGACAGGCCCTGTCAGGGGTCAGGTGACACTGGGTGACTTTACAGGCAGCTGTGCAGGATGGCAGAGTGGGCTAGAGAGGCTCTGGCTGTTTGGGAGCTAACTGGCAAAAAGGCCCAGTTTCAGGTGGGAGGTGGGTCCAGAGGCCAAGCCTGGAAGGTCCGTTCTTGAGCTATTGGGTGAGGGGATGCCAGGGGCCTATTAGGTAAGATGTGGGGGCCTGGGGCTCACCTCACAGCTGGGCAGCTCACCCACAGCACTGGTACACACCATCCCCGGCAGAATAGTGCTGCCGTCAGCCCCAGGAGCTGTATGCAGCCGGCTGCAGGCCCTAGGCCCCAGGAGGGTCACAGGCACTGTCTGGGGGGAGCTGATGCCTGTAGAGCAAGGGAAAGCTGGCTGCTCCGGCCTGCAGGCTGGATGGACAGTGGCCCTGGCCCCATGCCCACCTACCTGCTCCTGGGCGGGCCCGTCCCAGGACCCAGCCGCGCTCCCCGTCAGGCAGGTGGTGGTCAGCATAGGGCAGGCAGAGGGGCCGCAGGCTGGCGCCCAGTGTCACAGGCTGGGCCAGCAGCAGGAGGGCCACGTCGTAGCCCCCCTCGGGGTGGGTGTAGGCCCCATGCAGGATGAGCTGCTTCAGGCCCCACTCCTCCGGTCTGGTCCCCAGCCCTACGCTCCATTCCTCTGGGGCCTGGCGCCTATGCAGAGGCAGTGTGGACGGCACCAGGTGACAGGGCTGCCGGCAGGGGCAGGGGGCACGGTGGAGAGGGATCCAAGACTCACCCGATGAAGCAGTGGGCAGCAGTCAGCACCGCCTCCTCTGACACCAGGGCTCCGCCACAGGCCAGCTGCCCCTGGTGCATCAGTCTGGCATCCCAGGGCCATGGGGAGGGTGCTCCTGCCTGGGGACCTGCTGTCCTCAAGGATCCACAGGCTGAAACAGATGAGTGCCTCCGCTAAGTGTTTCCCGCTTCTCATCAAATTCTCACAATATCTTTTGAAATCGAATTTTGTTCCCCTCATTACTGAAGGTAACCAAAGTTCCAGAGAGGTTAAATGACTTCCTCGTTCTGTAACTACTGGCAAGTGGCAGACTTGGGATTCACAAGCTAGGGCCTGAGCTTTTAGCCCTGTCGGTCTGATGGGACCCCAGTCCCAGCCTCGTGGGAATGCCCCTACTCGTCACTCCCCCGCCCCACCCGTCTGCACCCTCCAGGCTGGGCCTGCCTCCCATATTCCTGGCTCATTAGTGCATCTCTTACCATCAAGACATAATATCCGTCCCAGGAATTATTTTGCATTCAATTTGCATGCCAGTCACTTAATGCCGGAATTCTGACTGGGAGCCCTACCCTGTGCAGGCTCGCTGGGTCCCTGCTGGAAGCTTGCCACTTCCCCAGAAACCCAAGTCAGGTCTCAGAGATTCCTCTTCTCACCTAAACTCCAAACCTGTAGAGTTCCAAAGTGCCTGTGCCTCTCAGCCCTAATGGGGCTGTTCCCATCCCAGGGGGTGAAAGAGCCCCCTAATTAGGCTCGGCGGTGTGGATGCCTGTGCCAGTTCTCTAGTCCTAACTGAGGTTTGCTTCACAGTGGCTTCTACCCACTGCCAGCATGCCCCGCTCATACCTACACAGCTGTCCTCATCACTCATCTCTGGGGTCTCTGGGCTCTGGGCCAGGAAAGCCGCCCCCTGAACTCGAGCCTGCAACCAGGAACTGTGAGCAGCTATGTTGGTCAGCAGCACAGGAGCGTCCTCCTGGGCACAGCTTGATGCAAAGCTGATGATGCCAGCCTGAACCCAGTGTCCATCGGGCTCGAGGCACAGCACAGGGCCCCCGGAATCTCCCTGGAGCCAGGCAACAAAGTCAAGGACAGATGCCTGAGCCCAGCTATGGCAGATACCCTCTGATTGTAGCCCTTTCCCCCAGTCCTGTGAGTCCAACCCCCAGCCCAGGGCTAGGCCTCTCCCCTTCTGCTCCTTCTCTCCTCCCCATCAGACCTGACAGGGCCCCTGCACCCCAGGCTGGGGGCCCCCACATAGCATCCCAGGCCGGGCCGGGTTGGATAGGTGTCGCTGGTGCAGCTGGTTGTAGATGCAGTTACATGTGGGGCGACTGATGAGACGCAGGCGCAGATTCCGTAGGGTCTCAGGAGCTAATGAAAGAGACGAGGCTGGGGCTGGAGTCTGGGATCTGAGAAGCAAGGGAGACTGGAAGCCAGGACAGTTGGGAGCTGAGACGGTGACATTGGGCAAGCAGAGTGCCTCTCCGAGCTTCAGTCTGGGCCGGCACTTACCATCACCGGTGTCCTGATCCCAGCCAGTGGCCCAGCAGGAGGCTCCAAAGGGGAAGCGATGGGCAGGCTGGGGCAGGCAGAGGGGTGTGTGGGTCACGGGGTGGGTGAGCTGCAGCAGGGCCAGGTCTGAGCCCTGGCTATAGTGGTTATAGGCCCTGGGCAACTGCAGGGCAGCCACCCCCACCTCTTCGGCCCCAGGGCTGAGTCCCTCACGCTGCAGAGAACCCAGGACCACTGACCAGGAGTTCAGTTCTATCGCTGCTGCCCTGGAAGGGGAAGGACAAGGTCCAGGCTGCTGAGTACAAGGGGAGACAGTGACACCATGGGAGATCCCACAGGTAGGTGGAAGATAGCAGAGAGCACTCCACGGCTTTTTCTTTTTGAGGTAGGGTCTCGTCCTGTTGCCCAGGCTGCAGTGCAGTGGCATGACCATGACTCACTGCAAACTTTGACCTCCCAGGCTCAAGCGATCCTCCCACCTCAGCCTCGTGAGTAGCTGGGACTACAGGTGTGCACCACCATGCCTGGCTAGTTTTATATTTTTTGTAGAGACATAGTCTTGCTATGTTGCCCAGGCTAGTCTTGAACTCTTGGGCTCAAGCGATCCTCCCTCCTTGGCCTCCCAAAGTGCTGGGATTATAGGCGTGAGCTACTGTGCCCGGCCTCCGTCTGTGACTTTAAGCAAGGTCATTCCCTTGCAACCTGTTTTCTCATTTGTAAATCTTCTACCTAAACTCCAAGCCTGTAGAGTTCCAAAGTGCCTGTGCCTCTCAGCCCTAATGGGGCTGTTCCCATCCCAGGGGGTGAAATAGCCCCCCAATTAGGCTCGGCAGTGTGGATGCCTGTGCCAGTTCTCTAGTCCTAAGGTTGAAAGGTGGTTGTTACAATTCACTTGACAATATGTACCCAGTACATGGCAGATTCTCAGTAAGTGGTACTTTATTATTACTCTAGAGGTAGGGACTAGCCTTGTGGGGCTTGAGACAAATCATCCATCCTCCAGAGCCAGAGACCCTGCCTGACCCCAGCCATGACTTACTTTTCAAAGCAGTGGGCAGCGGTGAGGACCCAGGTGTCCGCCACCAGGGAGCCGCTGCAGATGTGGGCTCCCTGCCTCCTCACACTGGCCTGCCAAGGCCACTCGCCGGGGACTGTGTTGCCCTCCTGAGGCTTGGGGGGACCGGGGCCACGCTGTCCACAGGCTGTGGAGAGGGTTAGGTCACAATGACAGCAGATCCCTGTCCTGACCTCACCCCAGTCCCAACCCAGACCCAAGTAAGACCCAGGCCCCGCATCCCCAGACCTTACCACGCTGAGCGGCTTGAAGACCTGGGAAGAGAGAGACACAGGTGAGACTCCAGGCCTGCCTAGCTTTGGGGAGGAGAGGGGATGGGCTGGGGGGCGGGCCCAGGGTCCTTGCTTGTGACTCTGATTACCTCACCAGCCCTTCCCAGAATGAAAATATTTATATGAGGTCGAGACAGCTTTTATTGGAACCTATTCAGCATTCACACTCAGTAATTAATTCTCCTTCAGCTGTGCTCAGCACTCCGGGGCTGGAGGTTCAGCTTGGGAGTAGGCCAACCCTCCTCCAGGCTTCAGAACCCCCAACTCCTGCCCCCGCCACTGAGTCAGGGAGGCGGCCTCTGTGTGTGGAGAGCATTAGCTTAATTGTCCTCTCAGCAGCAGAGGCCTAAAAGGATTAGAGGCCTGCGTCATTTCCAAGGGGGGAGGGCCCCAAGAAATGGAGACTTACCTCACCCTGGTCTAGAGACTCAGTCTTCCCCACCTTCCCAGAAACTGCCTGAGAGCTCGCCAGAGAGAGGGCCCCTGCCCGCCACCCCTCACAGGCACACAGGCACCCCCATGAGACAGCTGAGCCAGGCTGCCCAGAGGATGGAGGAAAAGAAAGGGAAACTGAGGCCAGAGGAGCCCCGAGTTTGCCTGAGGTTGTTGTGGAAGTCGAGGGGGAGGCGGGTGTAGGACACACACAGGCAGCACCACACACACAAAGACCACAGGCCCTGCCAACGCAAACTGCAGCTGGCCCGAGAAAATCTCATCCATGTTGACGCAGGTGGCCACATATATGGCCCCACAGAGTCCCACGGAGTTACATCCCCACTGGCGGACTGTCGCCCACAGGCAGTCCCCCCACCAAGGAGCAGGGACTGCTGGGGCAGAGATGGCCCCTGAGCCCCCACCAGGCCACCCCCATACCCCCACGCATGGCGGCTTACCCTCCATGAGGACCGTGGCACCCGCGAAGAGCAGCACTGGGCCCCAGCTCCACTTCATGCTGCCCCGGGCCACTCTGCCGCCTGTGCTCCGCTCTCAGAGAGGCCACCTGGGTCTCCCTGGCTCCACCTCTGCTCCACCCCCAGTTGGCTAGGAGTCAGCTCTCTGCTTGCCCTAGCCAGCAGTTCCTAGCTCTGGGACTGTGGCTGTGTGACCCTGGGATTGTCACTACCCCTCTCTGGGCCTCAGCCGCGGAGCCAAACTGTCAGGGTTTAAATCTATTTCCTTACTACTTGAGTGGTCTGGGAGAGCTAACCTGCCTGCACCTTGTCTGAGAAACAGTTGTTGAATGGAAAATGCCTCGATGTCAGCCTGGTACAGGGCAAGCTCACTCCCAGCATGAAAGCGCCATCCTGGAACTGTGGAGGGGCACATGGGCAGCTCCTCCTGGTCCCCACTTTTCATTTCCACTCCCCCACTTCTCTTCCAGCCATGGCCAGGTGGGTTTCACATGCCCTCTCCCAGGTCTGCTCAGAGACAGTGTGTGCCAGGCTGGGTGTCGAGGGGCCAGCACCCACTGCTGCTTGCTCGCTGTGAGCCTTTGACAAATCCCAGTATCTCCCTGGGCCTGCTGGCTTCCTGGGAAACAGGGTGACAGCAGTGCCCACCTTCCTCACAGGCGCTGGAGAACTCGGTCAGGCGGGAAGAACACTTGGGCGCATGCCTCCTCTTCCTCTTCCCACTCCTAACTCAGGCTGGCCCAGACCGTTCAAGAACCCTGACCCCAAGACAGAGGCAGTTGCGGGTAGGGTTTAGTATATAGATGCTGGCCAGGCATGGTGGCTCACGCCTGTAATCCCAGCACTTTGGGAGGCCAAGGCAGGCGGATCACCTGAGGTGGGGAGTTCGAGACCAGCCTGACCAACATGGAGAAACCCTGTCTCTACCAAAAATACAAAATTAGCCCGGCGTGGTGGTGGGTGCCTGTAATCCCAGCTACTCAGGAGGCTGAGGCAGGAGAATCGCTTGAACCCGGGAGGCGGAGGTTGTGGTGAGCCGAAATTGTGCCACTGCACTCCAGCCTGGGCAACAAGAGCAAAACTCCGTCTCAAAAACAAACCAACAAAAAAAAAGCATATAGATGCTGGAGCCAGATGGACCAGGTGGATGCAAATCCTGAGAGCCTCTTGCAGTAGCTGTGTGATCTCAGGCATACTACTTAGCCTCTCTGTCCCTATCATCAAGATAGGGGTAATAACAGTATGCACCTCATACATCACTGTAAAGATTAAATGAGTTTAACATGGTAACACAAGTTGCTGGTTTTTTTTTTTTTGAGACGGTCTTGCTCTGTTGCTCAGGCTGGAGTGCAGTGATCATGGCTCACTGCAGCCTCAACCTTCTGGGCTCAAACGATCTTCCTACCAGCTTCCCGATTAGTTGGGACTACAGGTGCATACCACCAAGCCTGGCTAATTTTTTTTTTTTTTTTTTTGGTAGAGGCAGGGGTCTTACTATTTTGCTCAGGCTGGTCTGGAACTCCCGACCTCAAGTGATCCTCCTGCCTTGGCCTCCCAAAGTGCAGGGATTACAGGTGTGCACCACTGCACCCAGCCAACACAAGTTCTTAAACAGTGCTTGGCATGTAGGTAAGTGGTCAGGGCATAATAGGCAAAACAAAAACCTTCAGAACCTGGCCCTGGCCCTCCAGGGCTACCAATACTGGCTTGGGATGGTCAATAAGGCAACTGGAGGGGTTAAAGTTAAACTCAAGGAAAAACTTCCCAGCAAGCATTTACAGAACGAGAAGGGCAGCCTGCCCTTGCAGGTGTGTGCTCAGCCTTCCCAGGAGAGGAGGCCTGGCTCCTGTGGGCAGCAGGAGCGAGCTGCCAGCCTGTTTCCTGGGGGTGGGGGCCGATGGCACGCCAGGCCTTGCTGACTCCACATGCTGGAGATGAGACTACGCATAACCACCCTTCCCAGCAGGCCCTCCACTCTCCCTCTGACTCACCCTTCCCAGCTCCAGAGAAGGCAACACTGAGGGAGGCCCAGCACCATAGTCCATGGCAGACACATGGTTCAGACTTGGCTGATTGATCTAAGAAACTTTATTGCTCAGAACCTTCCCTCCCTGGGCAATGGCAAGAGCTTTGGAGACCAGCCCTTGGGGACAGAGTCAGAGGCACTGGGTGGAAAAAAGAGCAAGTGTGTGGCACTTGGTCCATTGTCATGTGCAGGTATGGCAGGAGGAGGGGGGACTCTAGAAGGCCCCGCATCTAGGGCCTTCTAGGGACCCAGATATGCCCCCTTGGGCAAGGCTCACATGCCAAAGCAAAGCAGACGAGGCCAGCCTGGCTTGGGGTGAGGGCTCAGTGCCTCTTAGCCTTGCCCTGGGGTTCTTGGACCTTCCGGAAACTGAGCCACATCAGGCCCACATTGATGGCATAGGTGGTGATGCAAACGATGCAGAAATCATAGAGCACGAAGAACAGGATCCAGGCCAGGTAGACAGAACCAGCAAGAGACACCAGGGAGCTCAGCAGCAGCACGACAGAGGCCCAGCGCGTCCGCAGGCAACCTGCAAGGCAGAAGAGGGTCTGGTGTGGGCTTCAGGGACTGGCCACCTCCTGAACACTCCATGATGTCACCACACCACCTAGATGCCAGGAGCTGCTGGGAAGTGTCTCTAAAACAAGAGGCTCCAGGGCAGGTGTGATGGCTTACACCTGTAATCCCAACACTCTGGGAGGCCAAGGTGGGAAGACTGCTTTAGGCTAGGAGTTCAAAACCAGCTTGGGCAACATAGAAAGACCCAATCTGTATCAAAAATTTAGAAATTTGGCTGCGCGCAGTGGCTCATACCTGTAATCCCAGCACTTTGGGAGGCCGAGGATGGTGGATCACCTGAGGTCAGGAGATCGAGAGCAGCCTGGCCAACATGGCAAAACCCCATCTCTACTAAAAATACAAAAATTAGCCAGGCGTGGTGATGGGCACCTGTAATCCCAACTGCTGGGGAGGCTAAGGCAGGAGAATAGCTTGAACCTAGGAGGCAGAGGTTGCAGTGAGCCGAGATCACACCACTGCACTCCAGCTTGGGCAACAAAAGTGAGACTTTGTCTCAAAAAAAAAAAAAAAAAAAAAGGCCCGGTGAGGTTGGCTCATGCCTGTAATCCTAGCACTTTGGGAGGCCGAGGTGGACGGATCACCAGGTCAAGAGACTGAGACCATCCTGGCCAACAGGGTGAAACCCTCTCTACTAAAAATACAAAAATTAGCTGGGCGTGGTGGCACGCACCTGTAGTCCCAGCTACTCGGGAGACTGACGCAGAATTGTTTGAACCGGGGAGGCAGAGGTTGCAGTGAGCCAAGATCACGCAACTGCACTCCAGCCTGGTGACAGAGCAAGACTATGTCTCAAAAAATAAAAAATAAAAAATAAAATAAAAATTAGCTGGGTGCAGTGGCATGTGACTCTAGTCCCAGCTACTCAGGAGGATCACTTGAGCCAGGAGTTCCAGATTACAGTGAGCTATGATTGTGCCACTGTACTTCAGCCTGGGCAACAGAGCAAGATGATTTCTTAAAAAAAAAAAAAAAAGGCTTTCACAGGTTCCCTCCAAGGAACTTGCCATTGCCCAGGGAGGGAAAGTTCTGAGCAATAAAATTTCCTAAATAAATCGGCCAAGTCTGAACCATGTGTCAGCCAGGGGCCGTGGTGCTGGGCCTCCCTCAGTGATGCCTTCTCTGGAGCTGGGAAGGGTGACTCAAAGGGAGTGTGGGGGCCTGTTGGGAAGGGTGGTAATAGGTAGTCTCATCTCCAGGGTATGGCATCAGCAAGGCCTGGGGGGCGCCATCATCTCCCACTCCCTTGGTTCCCCTATCTGTTCAATAATTCCTGGGACCAGATACAAATTTTCCTGCGGAGCACTAAATGAGATAAAAGATAGCTCATGTTCAGCTTCTCCTTAAAAAGGAATTTCGGCATCTTTTCCACAAAACTGGGGTGCTGGTGGGGCATGGTAGCTCATGCCTGTAATCCCCCCAGCACCTTGGGAGGCTGAGGCAGACAGATTGCTTAAGACCAGCCTGGGCAACATGGCGAGACACTGTCTCTACCAAAAAAAATACAAAAATTAGCTGGGTATAGTGGTGCACGCCTGTGATTCCAGCTACTCGGGAGGCTAAGGTGGGAGGATCACTTGGGCAGGGAGGCAGAGGTTGCTGTGAGCTGAGATCACGCCAGTGCACGCTAAGGGCATCCTAGACCTCAGTTTGGGCAACAGAGCCAGACCCTGTCTCAAAACAACAACAAACAAAAAACCTGGGGACCTAGGATGTCTTTAAGGGCCCTTTAGCCTCTAACAGTACTTAAACCAATTAAAAGACTCCTGTTAGTTACCTCCCCACCTCTCCACCCGCAGGATGCTCCGTGATGAGCAGCTAGCTGGCTATCAGCTGTGGATCACCAAGACTGCATGGAGTGGGGCTAAGCTGACCAAGGGGGATGAGGGCCGGGGGCCTGCAGGGAGGGGGCAGAGCCACTCACCTAACAATAGCTGTAGTGTGTAGAAGATGCAACCGAATATGCTGTTGGATTGATTGAGGATGCTGTCCGGTCCCAGCACATGCTCCACCAGCCCGAAGCCCCTGCCCCACCTGGCAGAGGGGTGGTGTGGGGGAGTGGAACCAGGTTAGGAATGTCAACCTAGTGACTTGGACCCTACCCCAGAAAGGTGATTTCCAAGAAGCCACCTGGGTTATCCTCTGTTCCCCACCTCCTATCCTAGTCCAAGGGTCAATGACCTGCAGTCAGCGGACACTTTTGGCCACGTCAGGATTCCATGTCACTGACCCTATCCTCCCCTCTCCCCAGACCAGGCCCGGAAGTGGCTACTCGGTAGGCCCTGCTTTTCATCTAGACCTTAAGTAATTCTTTTTTTTTTTTTTTTTGAGACACCCATGGTGGAGTACAGTGGCGCGATCTCGGCTCACTGAAACCTCCGCCTCTCGGGTTCAAGCGATTCTCCTGCCTCAGGCCCCCAAGTAGCTGGGATTACAGGAGCCTGCAATAGCGCCGGGCTAATTTTTCTATTTTTGGTAGAGACAGGCTTTCACCATGTTGACCAGGCTGGTAAACTGACTTCAAGTGATCCAGCCGCCTCGGCCTCCCAAAGTGCTGGGATTACAGGAGTGACCCACCGCGCCCAGCCCTTAAGTAATTCTTAAAATGGCAAGGCTGGTATAACGGTTCACTCGGTTTTGCATCAGAGACTGGGAGTCGGCGGCAGATTATCTTTGCCCTGGACCCCAGAATCTCCAGCTCCCTGGCCACTCACTCGCCTCCTCGGTATTCCATCATTATGCTAACGCTTGGCCATCACGCACAGCCAGACCGGGCCACCTTGTTCCCGGGCACAGCCATCGCCAACCCCCCTTCACCTGCGCGCCGTCCTTGAGACCATCGTCAATCTCTGCCGCCATCCTGCCTCCCCGCCTTTCCCGGTCACCGTTATTCCTTGGCATCCAACTCACGTGCGAGTCCCCGGAATAATCCCAGTCCCCAGCACTGTCTGGTCCCTTGCCTCGCACTCTTATTTCGAACACCAGTATCTCTGGGTAGCTCAGCCCCCGTGCAACGACCCCGAGAGTAGTCCAGCCCCTTGTCCGTTCCCTGGGCACACCGATCCCACACTCCAGAATAATCATCTGGCAATCTGGCCGCCCTGCTCCGAGGCCCCACGCCTCCTACTCCCACGCACACCTGGAGGAGAAGACACGGGAACAGCTGATGGCGGTGCCTACGTCGCAGAGCGCGCGGTAATCCCTGTCCCGGGCGCGCGCCGCCTTCACGTGCAGCGCGTAGAGCGAAAGCACTAGGCCGGCCAAGCAAAGAGCGAGCCGCACCCAGCCAGGGCTCCCCCAGGTGCTGTCCATTATCTCCAGGTTCCGTCTGAGGCGCCAGCAGTGAAAACCAGCCACGGGGCAGGGGCGGGGCGGGGAATGGCCACGCCCCTCCTGCCCCTCTGACTTGGCGATTGGCCGGCCGGGTTCGCACTCCGCGACCCAAACGGCTGTTCCCGGGGGCTAGTCAGGCGAGAGAGTTAGGAAAACAGCTAAGAATGCCCAGACTGGTGAGGCGGGTAAGAGACGTGGGGAATCGCAGCCCCAGCGACTGCCAGGCATGATGGGAGTTGTAGTCGGGGCGGCTGCAAGGCGTCAAGGGAAATGACGTCTCCAGAGATTTAAAAACTGTTTTGGCCGGGCGCGGTGACTCACACCTGTAATCCCAGCACTTTGGGAGGCCGAGGCTGGCGGATTACCGAGGTCGGAGATCGAGACCAGCCTCGCCAACATGGTGAAACCCCGTCTCTACTAAAACTACAAAAATTAGCCGGGCATGGTGGCACATGCCTGTAATCCCAGCTACTCTGGAGGCTGAGGCAGGAGAATTGCTTGAGCCGGAGAGACGGAAGTTGCAGTGAGCCGAGATCGTGCCACTGCACTCCAGCCTGGCTGACAGAGTGAGACTGTCTCAAAAAAAAAAAAAAAAAAAAATTGTATTAATGTGGCTAACAGCATTTGCGCCTACCCTATGCCAAGTCCTGTTGTAAGAACTGGAGCATCCAGGACCTAGAGACCAGCGGATCAGGGGATCCAGCGAATACGGCGATCCGATTCGGGAACCAAGCATTTCCCCTGAAACTATTTCAGGCACCATTCGGGCTGCAGCCTCGCATCCTCCCAGGTCCTGCCTCACCAGTGCTTCTTGCCGGTCGGTCTCTCCCTTACATTCACAGAACCATTCCTTTGGCCACACACACCCTTGACAGTATCCTAACCTCTCTACTATCATGGCACCTGCCTGGCAACACCTGCGCTTGGATCAACTCAACAGTCAGTCTCTCCTTTCCAAGCTGTGGGCCTGCTGAGGTCTTTCCTTCACAGACATCCCATCTGATGGTGACCCATCTCTCCTACACATTCAACCTCTCTGTCCTCCCCATCTACACTGCAACTTGTTTCTCTTTCCCATCTCAGAAACAGCAACAAATCTCCCTTCACTAAGAGGTCCTTCACCAGCCTCCCCTCCCCGCATTATCCCATCTACTCCTCCACAGTCAAGTTTTTGGAAAGATTCTACACTCCCAGTCTCTACTTCCTCACTTCTTCCTCGCTGCCCACGCCATAAACTAGCTGCTGCCTCCAGCACTGCCCTGACACCTAGTGGCTGGTGTCACCAAGACGCTAGACCCAGTGGTTATTGATTTATTAATTTACTTATTTTGAGACGGAGTCTCACTTTGTCACCCAGGCTGGAGTGCAGAGGTGCCATCTCGGCTCACTGCAACCTCCACCTCCAGGGTTCAAGTTTTTCTCCTGCCACAGCCTCTCGAGTAGTTTGGACTACAGGTGCCTGCCACCACGCCCAGCTAATTTTTGTATTTTTAGTAGAGACGGGGTTTCACCATGACCAGGCTCATCTCAAACTCCTGACCTCAAGTGATCCACCCACCTCGGTCTCCCAAAATGCTAGGATTACAGACGTGAGCCACCGTGCCCGGCTAATGGTTGTTTTTCAGGTCTTCTCTTGCTTGACTTCCCAGAGGGATCCCTTACTGTTGCACACACCTTCCTGGGAACTCTCTCTTCCTCTGGCGTCTGTGATATTTCCCTCTCCTGCTGGCTCCTCCCTTTCCAGATGCTCTTTCTCACATCTACTCTCTTCTAGAGAGTGTGGTAGACAGAATAATGGTCTCTAAAGATGTCCCTGCATGAATCCCTGGAACTTGTGAATATGATAGGTTAAATGGCAAAAAGGAAATTAAGGTTGCAGATGGAATTAAGCTGACCAATCTCCTGATTTGATTTGATTTGATTTATTTAATTTCTTTTGTTTTTGAGGCGGAGTTTCACTCTTGTTGCCCAACTGGAGTGCAATGGCATGATCTCTGCTCACTGCAACCTCCACCTCCCAAGTTCGAGTGATTCGCCTGCCTTAACCTCCCGAGTAGCTGGGATTACAGGCACCCGCCACCACACCTGGCTAATTTTTTTAAGTTTTAGTAGAGACAGGATTTTGCTATATTGGCCAGGCTGGTCTCGAACTCCTGACCTCAGGTGATCTGCCCACCTCAGCCTCCCAAAGTGCTGGGATTACAGGCGTGAGTCACCATGCCCGGCCTATTTATTTATTTATTTGAGATGGAGTTTTGCTCTTGTTGCCCAGGCTAAAATGCAATGGTGCTATCTCAGCTCACCGCAATCTCCACCTCCTGGGTTAAAGTGATTCTCCTGCCTTAGCCTCCCGAGTAGCTGGGATTATAGGCGTGCACCACCACGCCCAGCTAATTTTTTGTATTTTTAGTAGAGATGGGGTTTCCCCATATTGGTCAGGCTGGTCTCAAACTCCTGACCTCAAGTGATCCACCCGCCTGGGTCTCCCAAAGTGCTGGGATGATAGGCATGAGGCACCGCACCAGGCTCTATTGATTTATTTTTATTTTTATTTTTGAGATGGAGTCTCGCTCTGTTGCCTAGGCTGGAGTGCAGTGGCACAATCTTGGCTCACTATAACTTCCGCCCCCCGGGTTCAAGCCATTCTCCTGCGTCAGCCTCCCCAGTAGTTGGGACTACAGGCACGTGCAATCATGCCTGGCTAATTTTTGTATTTTTAGTAGAGACAGGGTTTCACTATGTTGGCCAGGCTGGTCTCGAACTCCTGACTTCGTGATCTGCCCACCTCAGCCTCCCAAAGTGCTGGGATTACAAGTGTAAGCCACTGTGCCCAGCATATTTTATCTGTTTAAAGACCCTTGACACACAGGCTGGAGTGCAGTGGCACTGTCATAACTCACTGCAACCTCTGCCTCCCAGGTTCAAATGATTCTTGCACCTCAGCCTCCCTAGTAGCTAGGAGTGCAAATACGTCCCACCACACCTGGATAATTTATTTTTATTTTTGTAGAGATGGGGTCTCACTTTGTTTCCCAGGCTGGTCTAAACTTCTGGTTTCAAGCAACCTTCCTGCCTCAAAGTGCTGGGAGTACAGGCATGAGCCACCACCACACCTGGCCTAATTTGCTGATTTTTATTTATTTATTATTATTTATCTTAATTTTTATTTTGAGACAGTCTTGCTCTGTCAGCCTCCCAAGTAGCTGGGATTATAGGTGCCCACCACCATGCCCAACTAATTATTGTAATTTTTTTTTTTTTTAAAGTAGAGACGGGGTTTTACCATGTTGGCCAGGCTGGTCTTGAACTCCTGACCTCAAGTGATCCGCCTGCCTCAGCCTCTCAAAGTACGGTGATTACGGCTGTGAGCCACCGTGCCTGGTCCAATTTTTGTATTTTCAGTAGAGATGGGGTTTTGCCATATTGGCCAGGCTGGTCTCGAACTCATGACCTCAGGTGATCCACCTGCCTCTGCCTCTCAAAGTGCTGGGATTACAGGCATAAGCCACCGTGCCTGGCCCACAAGGGTCCTTAAAAGATGAAGGAGGATTGCAGAAGAGAGTCAGAGGGAGATGTGAGTAAAGAAAAAAGACACAGAGAGCTGCAATGTTGCTGGTTTGAAGATGGAGGAAGGGGGTTGTGAGCTAATAAATACGGGTGGCCTCTAAAGGCAAGAAAGGATAAAGAACTGGATTCTCACCCTAGAGTCACCAGTAAGGAACTATCAACATTTTGATTTCAGCCCAGTGAGACTCTGTCAGACTTCTAAGCTACAGAACTATAAGATAAGTTTTTGTTGTTTTAAGTCATTGAATGTGTAGTAACTTGTTACAGCATCAATTAGAGATGAATACAGAGGACTGGGCATTAGGCCTGTATCTCAGCTTTCTCTGGTTTCCTGGTGTGTTCCTGTTATTTATTGTTGGCTTCCCCCCAGAATGAGTGATCTAAGAGGAAGCAAAATAGAAGCCGCAATCTCTTTATGACTTAGCCTCAGAAGACACACACTGGGGCCGGGTGCAGTGACTTATGCCTATAATCCCAGCACTTTGGGTTGCTGAGGCAGGAGGACAACTTGAGCCCAGGAGTTTGAGACACCCTGGACAACACAATGAGACCCTGACTCTACAAAAAATAAACAAAATTAGCCAGGTGTAGTGGTGTGCACCTGTAGTCCCTGTGGGGAGCTGTGCACCTGTAGTCACTTTGGGAGGCTGAGACAGGACAATAACTTGAACCCAGGAGTTTTGAGACAGATCTGGGCAATGTGGCAAGACTCTGTCTTTATAAATATTTGTAAAATTAGGCGGGGCATGGTGGCTCATGCTACCCGTAATCCCAACACTTTGGGAGGCTGAGGTGGGTGGATCACCTAAGGTCAGGAGTTTAAGACAAGCCTGGCCAACATGGCAAAACCCCATCTCTACTAAAAATACAAAAATTAGCCAGGCATGGTGGCGGTCACCTGTAATCCCAGCTACTCAGGAGGCTGAGGCAGGAGAATCATTTGAACCTGGGAGGTGGAAGTTGTAGTGAGCCGAGATTGCCTTCCTCACTTCAAGAGTTATAAAAGATTTTGACCATATTTTCTTTTCTTTATTTCTTTATTTTTTAATTTTTTGAGACGGGATCACAGAGTCTCGCTCTGTCGCCCAGGCTGGAGTGCAGCAGCGCGATCTCGGCTCACTGCAAGCTCCACGCCATTCTGCTGCCTCAGTCTCCCGAGTAGCTGGGACTACAGGCGCCCACCACCACGCCCAGCTGATTTTTTCTATTTTTTAGTAGAGATGGTGTTTCACCGTGTTAGCCAGGATGGTCTCGATCTCCTGACCTTGTGATCCACCCGCCTCGGCCTCCCAAAATGCTGGGATTACAGGCGTGAGCCACCGTGCCAGGCCTTTTTTTTTTTTTTTTATTACTGGGATAAAGTTTAACATTTTTAGAAGAAAATTTTATTTTCTTCTAGCATTTTATTTATTTATTTATTTATTTATTTATTTATTTATTTATTTGAGATAGTCCTGCTCTGTCGCCCAGGCTGGAATGTAGTGGTGCAATCTTGGCTCACTGCACTCTCCGCCTCTTGGATTTAAGCTATTCTCCTGCCTTAGCCTCCTGAGTAGCTGTGATTACAGGTGCCAGCCACTATGCCCGGCTGATTTTTGCATTTTCAGTAGAGACGGGGTTTCACCATATTGGCCAGGCTGGTCTCGAACT